GGGAACAAAAAAATAAACCGATTTTATCAAATGCAATTCTCATCCATTTTTGTTCCTGGGAACAAAAAATAAAAAAAAAATCATTCCGGGAAGGTTGTCATGCACACCCTGGAAAAGTGAGAATCGATTCCCCCTGCGACAGAAAGCCTGTAACGGCTATAAACAACTAGTTTTGCTAAAAATTACTATAAATACATTCCTTACGATCCTAAAACGTTAAGATCACTATTCCTACACATCCTAAGGATGATTTGAGAGCTTCTACACTATCTTTTGCATATTCTTTCATATATTTCAAAGATCAAACATATTTGAGCTCATATCTTGAAAATCCATATACCCATATAGTGCTTCAAGTTGTATATCCACACTTTGAGAGTGTATATTCATTTCCAAAATTTCTCTCCTTATATTTTTGAGTTGAAAGGGTTATGAGACCCATTGTTTGAGAGGTATCCAAATACCTAAGTAATTTTGGAGTGAATTGTAAGGTTGCCAAGTACCCGTAAACTTGGAGATTGTAAGGTATCCAAGAACCCGAAGTCTTGGAAGATTGTAAAGGTTTGTCAAGCACCCGTGAAACTTGACCTTTAGTGAAAGAGTTGATCGAGCGGCTTCACTCTGGATGTAGGTCACAAGTGGTGGTGACCGAACCAGGATATATTGTGTTTGCAAATCTCTAAACTCTAAACTCTTTATTTCTAGCACTTTAATTGTTTCTTTGATATCTTTAATGTGCCAGAATAAGTTCTATAATTGTGATATATTATATATTATGGATTGTTTGAATGTATTGATTAGCTTTTCACATATCAAAGTTTGCTTGAAATGATTATTTAGAAACTAGAAGGGGACTCTTGCGAAAATCTTGTAATACTCAATTCACCCCCTCTTGATTATGGAAGCCGCATTCCTAACACAAAATTGTCACCATATTGTTGGGCCTTCAAGGAGAGCTCGTGGCGAGGGGAGATCGTCAACCATTGACCAAATAAGCATCAATATTAGGAACACCAAAATCAAATTCAAAACCTTAAGGCATTAGATGCATGAGTCTTTCCACTTATATGATGTTCACTTAATTCATTCTTAACCAATGTGAAACTTTTTTACTCAATCATTCACATTTGAATTCCTCAACATCTCCCCCTCAAGTGTGAGTTCTAGGCTCACATTCCCCCTCTCAAGCAGAAGCTTCTTCGAGTATTCATGGGGTTCATCAATGCTTGGCTTTTCATCAAACATTGTCTCTTTAATCAATGTCAATGAATCCTAGGCCCACATTCTTTCCCCTTCAAGGAGAAGCTTCTTCGAGTATTCATGAGTTTTATCAATGTTTGGCTTCTCATCAAATATTGGCTCTTTCATCAGAGCTTGGTTATACTTATCAAGACCTTGGCTTCCCACATCAAGATATAATGTTCATCAATGCTTGGCTTCTCATCAAACATTGGCTCTTTCATTAGAACTTGGTTACACTCATCAAGACATACTCGGATCACCATGGGTAGGGTATCAAAACGGGTCAACATGACACGATACGAATTTGGCATAATATGAATTTTTATTCGTGTTCAAATCTTCAACACGAACACAACACCTGTTTTTTGCAACACGACGCGAATAACACGCAAATCATGGGTCAAAATGGTAATTGACCAAAAAATTAAAAAAAGGGTAGAAATTAAAAAAAATTAAAAATAAAATACGGGTCGACACGAATTTGACATGACACGCAACAATAATTTTTTGTGAGTCAACCCGAACACGAATTTCCATGGCATGTTGTGGGTCGACCCTCGTGTTATACCCTATTTTGACACCCCTAACCACAAGCTTATCCACAACTGGCTCTGATACTAATTATTCGGCCTGTAGGGAGAGCTCGTGATAAGAGGATACCTGGCAACCATTGACAAATAAGCAGCAATATTAAGTGGGCTTGAAACACCACAACCAGACCCAAAACCTTAAGATATTAGGTGTATGAATCCTTCCACTCATATGGTGCTCACTTAATCCATTTTAAATCAATGTGAAACGTTTTCACTCACTTGTTCATACTTGAATTCCTCAACAAAGTCACTATTCTAAAACCATTGTACCAAGAAACTTGTAGACCAAGTAAAAGGTTCCAAACTTTGACCTTGACTAAACTTCTTACACCTAAGTTTCTAGCAAAGCCCAAAATCCAACACCATGTGTCATCTCGCAACACCCCACCACACCCGCTTTGCATATCTATCTGTGTTTATCTTTATCCATCTATAGGATCAAGATTTCAATTTAGGGGGTGTTTGGTATAAATAAAATTTTTAGATTCCCGAAAAATTAATATTGGTAATCTTATTTACCCACATTTGATATGAGGATTGCTAAAATTTATCTGAAAAAAATCAGATTCCTAGAAAAAAAAATTTAGAAACTTTTAAACCCAAATGCTATCCAAAAATACCATTAGGGGGCGTTTGGTATAAGAGATATTTTTTTTAACCTGGAAAAAAAGATAGTTGAGGATTTGATAAGAATTTTTTTATCCCAGATAAGTTACGAAAAAGTGTTTGATTGACCAAAATTTTGCCGGAAAAATTGGGTTCATTTTACTTATGCTATTATGCTATATTTGGTTGATGATAAAATATTGATGAGATAATTATTTGACTCAACATATTATATTCAGAATCTAAGACCCTAGGCAAAAAAAAATACCAAAGTATCAGTGGGATAATTATTTGCCTTTGTATAGTTGAAAAGGGAAATACTTGGAGAAATTATTTGCTGAGATTTTTTTTCACAATACTCATATCAAACATGATTATTAAATATTCCACACCTCACTTCCCCATCATTCCATATCAAATACTCATACCAAACATAAGAGATTCCCATGACATTTGGGAAAATTTCACACAACTTTTTGTTAATATTCTCAAAAATTTTATTTTCCCAACATAATACTAGGAATCATTCTCAGGCATAAAATGATTTCTTTTCTACTATAATTTTTTTTTCCTCTACCAAAACCTCTTGGAACAACCTAGAAAACCATCATTCTTGTACAGTTTTTTTGCATCCAATTTTTTTGAAAAATAAGCACAAACTACTCTAGGGGTGTGTTTGGTATAGATTTTATTTTGGGTTAGATGGGGAAGAGTGAATGGGTATTGGTGTATACCATGTTTGGTACAAGTTATTGGAAAAAAATACTAGAAGACTTAAAAGGATGGGGAACTTGCTTTGTGTTGCTTTTGGAATGAAAATCACTGTTTGAAATAACTACTTGAGATATGATTTTTTGAATATGGCTGGGGAAATGAAAGATGGGGCTCGAGTTTGATAAAATTGTGGACAAAATTGACCCTTGTGAATAATCTCCTCGTGGCTTCTTGCGAATCATCATGCCTTTGAGAAAAGTCATCAGGTAGTGCCAGTTCTAATTCATCGGCTATGTCCTCCAGTATCCTTTTCATTTCTCTGCAAACCGTCATTAACTTCTTCATAGGAATGACATTTTGCATGATGTGTGGTATGCTGATCGGAGAAACGTAAGATGGAGAGAAAGACAGCGACGATGAGACATTGACCGGAGGGGGGTTGGTTAAGAAGGCAGTGGTTTTTTTAAAAAAAATTATAATGAGGGTGTTTTTGTCTATTCAACCTATTTTTCCATCACTATTTTACATTTAACCAAACATAGACTTTACAAATTTAAATAAGTTTTCGTGGAATTATATCTTTATATTTTTTTATTCACTCTATCTCCTCATTTGTCTATCTCTTTCTCTCACTTAAAATGACATAATTTTATATCATTTAAAATGATACACACTTTTTTCTTTTACAAATAATGAGAATCACTCTGAAAATATAAATGAATTTTTAATTTTCATCATGCGTCCTTGAGAAATGTGATTAAAAGGATATTTGATATATTTTTAATTATGATTTTAAATTGAATAACATGATAATAGCACAGGTAAATAGAATTCATTTTTTTATATAATATTTTTATTTTGTATAATAGTCTTTGATTCAGCTTATTCAAACAAACTTTTCATTAGGTTTTAATATTTTGTTTAGAATAGAGGAATGAGAACGATGGAACGTACTCTAAATTTGATTTTGAAAATTAAAAAATATTATAATTTTTAAAACTATTTTTATAAAATACAACTTATTGAGTATGATTTTTTTGGAATTGATATTTATTCTTTTAAAAGATATAGAATTATGTGATTTTAAAAGGTTTGCTTGCACTTACTGCAGATAAGTTATCTGCAGTAAACTCAATACGATGTTTTGGGATGAAAATCATGTTGTTTCTATAATTTTAATTTATTTCAGAGTTATTATAGTCTTTATAATTATAATTTTTTAATCTTTCAATCTCAAAACAATGTCATTTTGAAAGTAAATGCAGATAATTTATCTTCATTAACTACAAAAATATTTTTTTCTATTTTAAATTAGAGAAAGAGATACATAATGAAAATCATGAGAGAGAAAGTGAGTGATTTTTTTAATTTAAATTTTAAATAAAAATATTAATTTTAACTAAAATAATTATCCTTTAAAATAACAAATATTTTTTTAAAAAAATTAAAAAACTAATTTTAAAAACAGAATTCAAACATATTGTTCCCAATTTTTTTAAGAGATGAGGTTAAAAAAAAGATAAGATATCGTGACACATAAATAATTTTACGCACAATGTTACGACCACATCTTAACTGTTTATTTTCGTCAATCAACGGTTATTATTTTTCAAATTAAATTTATTAATTAATTATTAATTCGCAATAAATAATAACTGTTGATCACAGAAATCAACAATAAAAATATGGTCATAACATTGAGCTTAACGTTATTAAAATAAAAACTCCTGCTACCCAATGAAATTCTTCACCTATTTAGACCCTAGTACCTTTTTTGTATAAAAAAATTCCCTATAATTCAATTCTTTACATTGAGCTTTGAGTTTGTTATTCTATTCTTTTCCACTTTAACTGTGTATAGTTTCATTCTCATCCCCATTCCATGGCTTCTTCAATTCGTCCCTCACTTTCTTCCTTTAGGTTACCCTCTCTCTCTTCCTGCTACCCTTCTCAAAGGTTCTCTCTTTTTCATATTGGTAGCGGTAAGCTGAGCTCAACTCACTCTTTTTCGTTGACCCTTTTGCAAATACTTCCCAAAGTTGCTGTCTTTATCCAATTTAAAATGATTTTTATTTTAGTTTATTTTTTCATAACAAGATTGTGTTAGTTTGTAATTGTATTGCATTTTCTATTTTATTGACATATGTTTTTAACTTGGATTGGTGTTGCATGTTGAGATGTGTATAATTTCATGAACTGAAATTGTTTTTGGGTTGTTATCCAGCTGTTAGACAATCCCATAATTTTGGGTTGAAAGCATTAAGGTTGTTGAGACATGATGTTAACTACATGAGAGTGATGGCATCTGGGAACATGTCACCAGCTGCTACCCAGGAAAATGTACTAGATTGGGTAAAACATGACAAGAGAAGAATGCTTCATGTTGTGTATCGTGTTGGGGACTTGGACAGGACCATAAAGTATGTCAAAGATTAATTTAGTTTGAAACTAGTTGTCTTTACTATAATCATTCTCATTGGAAAACAAACTTGTTGGTGATTGCAGATTTTATACAGAGTGCCTTGGAATGAAGTTGCTCAGAAAGCGTGACATGCCAGAGGAGAGATATACTAATGCCTTTCTTGGATATGGGCCTGAGGATGCACACTTTGTTATTGAACTGACATACAGTAAGAGTGTGACTAACTTATTGACATTCCTGATAATTACAGAACTTTGCATTTTATGAAGTCAGTTTTACATTAATATTGATTTTCTTTTAACCATTTTTTCAGATTATGGGATTGAGAGTTATAATATTGGAACCGGGTTTGGCCATTTTGGTCTTGCTGTTGATGATGTAAGTTTGCCAAGCTATTCTGCCCATTACTACTATCATTTATAAACTATTCCATTTGTGTTCTTTACCTGTGAGATATATTTTTGTGTATGAACTATTCCAATTGCATCTGTCTTCTTATTGTCTTGGGAATTGAGATACAGTTCTGGTTATTATTACTTGGGATTTCCTCTCTATTGTTTCTTTTGCCTATGTATACAATTGGATTTATTTGTCTTTGTAATCTTTTACTAGATTTCAAGAGTAGTGGATATCATAAGAGCTAAGGGTGGCAAAATAACTAGAGAGCCTGGTCCTGTCAAGGGAGGCAGCTCGGTAATTGCATTTATTGAAGATCCTGATGGTTATACTTTTGAACTTTTGGAAAGGGCTCCCTCTCCTGAGCCTTTATGCCAAGTAATGCTTCGGGTGGGTGATCTTGATCGTTCCATAAAATTTTATGAAAAGGTGAGGGTTGATGCAATTTTATGTTGGTTTTCAGTCTTCTTTTTTCCTTTACACAACATTGATTTGTTTATATGAGTTATGGCTGCTTGCTATTCAGGCTTTTGGTATGGAGCTACTTCGTACACGAGATAATCCGGAATCCAAGGTACCTTGGCATCCTTTTTGTTATATATGTTGGCCCTGAGATCTTTTTTGTAATTAATATTCCTAGCCCTCAACGATTAAGATAATTAGAATTTAGGGTTGATATCCAATTGTGGGGGCTAAAGTGCCTACACTTTCTGATGCCATTTAATCTATAAGCTTGAGGGCAAGAGCTATAGAATCCTTTTCTAATATCCTTAAGATGTGATGATCCCTTGCCTGGGGTTAAGTAACATTGTTCTATGAGTGTATCTGTTATACATATGGGTGCCTTGTTAGTATTGAATAACTTCTGTTTCAGACATAATTCTTACAAAATATGCTATTTTACTTGGCATATTGTTTGGTGGTGTACCAAAATATGTTCAGTTCAGCACTATACTGAACTAAAACTTGTTTAGAATGAAAGAATGCTCTGTGTGTCTTTTCTACCAAATGACCATTATTGTAATTAACCATCTAAAATCTTATATCTTAATGTGCAGCAATCAACTTGATATAAATAAGATTGTTAGGTTTTCAGCTGGTAAGTGGGAAAAATTGGCTTTTTCCCCCTGGGGCTATATGAGTCTTGTTTAACACCTTGCACCTATGTATAAATAATTGTGTGCGACTTCTTTTTTCTTCCTCGCAGAGTTATAGTTCCATAGGTTTTCATCTGTAATTTTTAAAAGAAAAAATAAACAGGATACTGATGTTCCAGTAGGGATTTTGTATTTTGCTGCCTATAATACAATCCATTTGTATTTAATTGGTTTTGGATGACGCTACAACTGTCTATGTACCCTATAGTCCTTATCCTTAAATTACATGTGATTTTGTGAATAGGATGGCTTGTTCAGTAAACCAGTCTGCCTGTGAGTTCACTGACATAAGTAGGCAAACAACTAGTGGGTGAAGCACATACTGCTTTCAATCTCCCTCATTTTTTTGGGAAAGTTTGTGCATCTTCAATCTGCTTAAGCTGATATATTCTTCCGATTTATGTTTCTTTTGAATATTTGTATCGTCTACTGTGTTTTTGAATTTTAAGCCATCTTTACAATTCTTAGATCTGATCTTGTTTGATGTGTTGGCCCAAAAATTGTTTCCCCATAACTTTTATTTGATACTTTGGTCATGTGATCTTTAATGGCTTTTCTTCTTCCCTTTTTGGTAGTATACCATAGCAATGCTGGGATATGGTCCAGAAGATAAAAATACTGTTCTGGAGTTGACTTACAACTATGGAGTCACAGAATATGATAAAGGAGACGCTTATGCTCAGGTACACAGAAGTTCCTCTCCTATTTGATTTCTCACATTATTTGAATGTACAGAAGTGGTTTTTATTACTGCAGTTATGATATTAGATTTTGTGTTTTGTATTAAAGAATTAGCTGGAGATTTTATATGACATTTTAATTGAAATGCTTCCTACCTTGTGTTTCTTTATTAACAGTATCTTGCCTTTCATTAGAGATCATTTCTTTTATTTATTATCTTTTCACTTTCCTCCTTTTTACAGATTGCAATAGGCACAGATGATGTGTACAGAACTGCAGAAGCAATTAAACTTGCTGGAGGAAAGATTACTAGGGAACCTGGACCAGTTCCTGGTATCAAAACAAAAATTACAGCATGCTCGGATCCTGATGGTTGGAAGACGGTATGGCTCCCTGAACATTTTCAGCATTATTTCCACTATGTTATTTATTGGTTCCTGGTTATGAAGCATTTGTGACTAACTTGTTTTTCCCACCTCTAATGTACAGGTTTTTGTAGATAATGTTGATTTTCATAAGGAGTTGGAGTAGTTTTTATGTGCGTCATCATAACAATCTTGTGAGGCTTGATTTCAAAACTCTGGCGAAGGAAATGGTATTCTTTGTTGAAGCTGTTTGAGTCAAGGAATGTATCATACTCAAATCCATTTTTTGTAGATGATGGAATAATGACTATACCAATGAACCTTGCTGCAAATATCTTTAGCTTTACACAATTTCAATGACACGCTGTGATTTTGGCAATAGTGCAAAGTTTCTCGTTGTCCACACTGCATGGTTCAGAATTGCATCATGGCATATAATTTCTTTGTCCTTACCACCTTAGGCCAAATATTCTTAGTCTTACCCTTCTAAATATGTCAAAAGTACGTGACAAAAGTGCCAATTTCCCACCACATTATTGTATGTGTGCATATATATTACTTAAATACATTATTAATAGATAATATCACGATGATTAAAAGTTTTTATAATGGTGTCAATCATCTAAATTGACCCATCATTCAAAGACATGTAAACTTGTATAATTTTTTTTGTTTTTTGTTATTTAAATTATTTATATCATTAATGTGATGCAGCAACTGCTTCACATAATGACTTAATGTGCATCTTGGTGAAGAGCAGCAGTGAATCAACTTGAGTTCAAGGACCTACTAAAATGTTAAAAGTGATTCAAGTGAATGTACGACCTTTATTTAGCTGCATATTATGTCAATTTGATTCTCATAAACTCTGTTTATTTTTGTTTTTGTATTACACACAACTTGAAATTCAGTGGTGAATACTGGCCAGTGAAGAGTTGACTTGATTTATGATAGAATTAGGCCTCATTAGGTGATTTACTGGTTCTGTGAATGACAGGAAGCAATTATATTCAATCTAATCCGAAGTTATGTTTTACCTTCCAATCTGTAGGCATCATTTGTGGAGGAATGATTCATTTAGGGGTGGACAGAATAGGACAGATTTGATTCACATTCACAGGCTATAGGCAATATTATTCCTTTTGGTCCTCTGCAATTGATAAGCTTCTTTTGTGGAGCTTCTAGAAGTGAATGATGCTTTTTTTTGACAACTAATACGCTAAACAGAAAAATTTCAACCTCTTAATGTAGACTGTAAGACAAGCCAAGTCTAAATGAATATCCAATAGGGTGGTACACATCTAGAAAACAAATGTGTATATATTGTAACTCTGAAAAATTAATCAATCATCACAGATCCCACAAAATAAAAAAAAATAAAAATCAATTATCTAATATAAAAGTATCAAATTATCTAATCTTTGAATGTATAGACTGGCTGCAGAATCTGAGAATCATCAGTAATGTATGTACTGAATTGTGTCTGTATGTGAATGTGTGTGCATTTACTGTTGGGATAAATTTTAAATGTCCGTTTTTTAGCAGTTTTGGTTTTTTAGTTTCTTGTGTCAGTTAGAATATTAATGAGTCAGTTATGTCAGTTATAAAGTAATGAGGGTGTTATGTGTGGAGTTATGTTGGTCAGTTTTATAGCTTATAAATAGGCTTTGGTTATGGATAGTTTATGAGTCATAAGTTTAGCATTTAATTTTAGGAGTTTTGAAAGTTAAGAGTCAATCGTTATGTTTTGTTATTAAGTTTGACTTTAATTGTGGTTTATGGCTATTTAGTGTTGCAGTTTTATAGTCTAGTATATTTCACAGAAGTTTGTTCTCTTTCTCCACAAGTCCTCACGACATTCTTGAATAGTTGTTTTATTTGTTGGTTTTGTATTTGAGCGATGCTACATTTACATCCTTACCTGATGGTGCAGCATGTGTGTGAAGAGGAGGGGTGGGGTTGGAATCTCAATGATGTTCTTCTGCTATGTAATAACAAAAGAGAATATAATATACTTTTGCAAAGCTACATAAGTCAAATGTAGGAAAATAGCAGTGTGCAAAGATGGGCCATAGTTACCCATAAAAATTTAAAAGTATTAGTACTCACCCAAATTTCTAAAATCAGGGTCCAATTGAATTATGGCCATAATTACCCTGTAACTTCCTTTGGTCATTATTATCTTATTACTTTTACTCTGTACGTTTTCATCATTTGGCCTAACTTACAACGGTCGTCATTATGGCATTTAAGGAGCAATGTACTTAATTTCCTTATATATGAACTACACATTTCTTCTCTCTAAATGTTCCTCCTCAGCATCAGCAATGGATGGCAGAGAAAACTCAAAGGTACAGCAGCTACTACAGCCCTTTAGAGAACAAGAACAATACACTTCACCATATTTTTCCTACCCTTCTTCCTTCAGCCGCTGCCCCATGTTTTCTACCATGGAATTCAATGATCTAAAGAATGCAAAGACTGAGGCTGATAGTGACAATTTCAATTCCTTTACACCAAGTGAAGACTCATCTGTCTATTTTCATAATGTCCCTGAGGGTCATTCTTGTGCCAAGTTAGAGGGAGACTCATCCAGTGAAGCTGATGATGATGCATCAGATGAAGTTAGTTTGCATGAGTTGCTTCTTGATGGAAAAATAAAGAAGAAAATTGAACTATTGGCTGCAATGGTTGGAGTTGACACTACTGAACCAGCTGTTGTGTTGACTGAAGTTGTGAGAGCTCTCAAGGTCTTAAAGAGGATAAATCAATATTAGTTAAGTGCTAAAATGAGGATAAGAATTTTAGTTGTTTTTTTTTTTTTTTTTCCTTTTTTTTTTTCAGGTTGTCACTTTGGTATTCTCTATATTCATTTTGATTTGTCTTTGAAATATTGAGCTTAAGAATTTTTTCTATTGATTGCATCAACTTTCTATAGCTTTCTCTCAATTTAATAACTCAGAAATTTTTCATCCTAAAAGTTAAAAGCTATCCCCTTGAAAAGTTTTCATATTTGCAATGACGAAAATGAAGAAGTTTCTTTTGCCTCTTTCAAATAGTTTTTTATATTGAGCTTCAGCGTGTGTATTGCAGTCTTATGAAACACAAAAGGCATGTGTTACTCATGTTGAATCACCTAGTTATCCAATCTTAAGATAAACATGGAAGCAAGCTTAGACATGTGAATTGCTTCTGATACAATCAAAGTCTCCCCAATACAAATGAAGCAGCCATAAAATACTATTCATGACTTTTTCAAGATTTTTAATAGTGTTGTGACCGTGATCCAAGTCCAGATAATCAAAAGAGGTAAACAGTATCTATTATTGTTCTCCATATTGTAGTCGTGACCCAAGTCTGCAAATGCTCATTGCATGTTCACACCTAGCCAGAATTGAAATTACTTGGGAATTTAACTGTGAATGATAAAAAATCTCACATTAAAAATAAATGGCCATTCTTGACTTTTTTTTTATCTAGACAAATTCAGAGAGTGGTACTTATTTTGAATTTCCTATAGTAACTTTAATTAAAATTGTCTTTTTTATTGTTTGAATCTCTGCGCTAGACCTGCACGGGTAAGGACCAAAAAGATGATACATGTGACTTCATCTTTTTTAGGTGAAACTTTTGTATTTTCTCTATTCATGTCATCCACCTATTAAAATGTCACACGTATTTCCTATGCCTCTTAACCTGTTTTAAAAAATTAAGACAACAAAAATTTATCTAAATAAAATATACAATCAACAACACTAGTAACTCCATAAATATTCATAAATTCAGCGTATTCAGTAATTCCATAAATATTCATAAATTCAGTGTATTCAGTGTATATCCAAACAGCATAATAACCAATAAAATGAGGTGAAATGGATTGAGGAGAAAGAGAGGGCTATAAGTCTGTTTAACCAATAAAATGAGGTGAAATGGATTGAGGAGAAAGAGAGGGCTATTACTAGTAGTATAAACAAAAATATTAGGCCGAGCTTTTAAATTAGAGCCTGAAGCCTTTTTATTAAACGAGCTTTTATACAAGTTCTAGCCTAATGCTAACAATCAACTTTAAACATATAAGCTCTTCCCAAGCCGAGCCAAAGGCTCCTGATTCGTTTAGCACCCCTACTTCTGATATCTGTGTTTGAAACTAACAGTATAAAATGAGGTGAAATTAAGAATTTTTTTCTATTGATTTTATCAAATTTCTATCAGCACAAAAATCTTTGGTAGTTGGAGATAGTGTTGAATAATTTAAAAGCAAAAAGCTTCACAGGAACCTGCACGAATAAGGAACAAATAAATATGATTGAAAACAAATATGTATATATTGTTACTCTAAAAATTAAACAAAAGTAACAGATACCAAAACAAATGTGTACTCAATTGTTTTTGTATGTGAATGTGTGTGCATTTGCATGTAACAAAGAGAATAAAGATACCAAAACAAATGTGTACTCAATTGTTTTTGTATGTGAATGTGTATGCATTTGCATATAACAAAGAGAATTACATATTCTTTGCAAAGCTACATATGTCAAATATAGGGGGGGAGGGGGGGAATGTGCAAAGACAGGGACATAGTTACCCAAAAATTTAAAAGGATTACACCTCACCCAAATTTCTAAAACCAGGGTGCAATTGAATTATGACCATAATTACCTTGTAAGTTTCTTTGGTGCATAATTACCTTTATTACTTTTACTCTCTACCTGTTTCTTCATTTGGCCTAACTTGGTAAGCAAAACACTTAAATGTTCTTTCTCATATATTAAAAGCTTTGTTCTTTCTAAATGTTCTTCCTCAGCATCACCAACGGATGGCAGCAAAAACTCATAGGTACAGTGGTTAGAGTTGACACTACTAAACCAGCTATTGTGCTGACAGAAGTAGTTAAAGTTTTGAAGGTCTTAAAATAAGATAAGAAATTTTTATAATTTTTAATTGATTATGTCAATTTTCTATAATTTTTTTGTCCGTTTATTAACACAAAAATCTTTCATTATATCCGTTTGAATAATTTAAAAACATATAACTCCTTGAAAAGTTTCTATACTAGGAATAACGGAAAAGAAGTAGTTTTTGTTTTGGTTTTTGGTTATGTTCATTATATCAATATAGCTTTATTTGATATAATTAAATAAGAAGAAATAAAAAATAAAACAAATACAATAGTTAGAATTTTTTAGTTCATTATGTCAATGTATTTTTAATCCTCTTACATATACGTAACAATCAATCTTGATATTTTATGGCTAAGTAACATTACTCAAAGCAAAACTGTTTTTAGTATTTAAGAAAAAAATGAAACAGAAAATTATTAATAGGAATATGACATAAGAACTGTTATACTTTACTGGTTTTCTTACGAGTAATTTTATTTTTTTAAAAGATTAAATTACATCAAAAGGTGTATAAAATAGAGCTGATGAACCAAAAATGATCTAAGCATCCCAACCAATAAAAGGACCATCAATCTCTCTTTCTCCCCTCTCCCTTTATCACGCTTGCATTTCAATGAAGTGAGTCTAAAAAATGTTTAAACTACACAAGCATAATGTTTCAACTTTTACCAACTAAACAAAAATACAAGTTTCTAAAAAATAAAAAAATCAAATCAAATTTTATAATAAAAAGACTAAACACCCTTTTTGGTCTCTGTCAATATCTACGAAATCCTTTTTAGTCCCTGGCAATAAAAAAGAACCAAATTGGTCCCTAAAATTATAAAAAAGGCCACATTAGTCCTTATGTCAACTCCTCCGTCACTAACGTGGCCTTTTTTGCATACTGTTAGGGACCAATTTGGTCTTTTTTTATTGCCAGGGACTAAAAAGAATTTTCTAGATATTGCCAGAGACCAAAAAGAATGTTTACTCTAATAAAAACGTTATTATAAAAGCCTTTTTTAAAAAAAGAAAGAAAGGCAACACTGCTTAAATAGTAACTACATAAAAGACTATTATCTGTTACCAAGAGAATGAAGTAATCCTTTCACGTGGATGGCAAACTGCCCTCAATAATTTTTCTTGCCAGAATTGACTTTAACGAACCCTATAATCAAGAAAAATTCAGAACACTGACCAAAGTGTTACTGTTGGCCAAAAAAATTATCAGACTACTACGCTAACAGTAAATTCTGTCAAAATGCCACGTGACATATTTTGCTACACTGTGTAACGAAATATGTGTGCAAATAATTCGCTACACAGTATGACGAAATATGCCACGTCAGACTGCTCAGAACCAAAAATGTCATGTGTCAAAATTGAAGAAATTCGCTACATAGGATAGCAAATTTCTACAATTTTAACACGTGACATTTTTGATTCTGACGTGGCATATTTCACTACACTGTGTAGCGAATTATTTGCACACATATTTCGCTACACAGTGTAGCGAAATATGTCACGTGACATTTTGGCAAAATTTACTGTTGACGTAGCAGTCTGGTAATTTTTTTTGACCAACAGTGACAAAATAGTCACTGTTCCGAAAAATTCACCTCCGTGCCAAGATTCTTTAAGAGCATTAGTAGGTAGAAAAGGGTTCTGAAAAGGCGTACACGGGAGACGTGTCATTATACATAACAACAGCTGCATTAGGTCTGTAACTAAGAGTTTGCACATGCATTCATGCAGTTTAGAATTTAAAGCGGTATTGATTGGACATGCATGTCGCTCATTATACATTGACTACCTGATTCTCCACATTTCTACCTGTATGTCAATGATAAGCAATGTACTTTCCAAATCAAATCAAGCAAGCGCACCTCATTGATGCTGGCTTTCCTGTATTTCAAGCAAAATTTCCATTACCTCATATACATAAGGAGGCATTTGGTACATCAAGATCATTGTATATAGGATGCCTTGGAATCCAAAGTACTCACGTTTGTATTTACATTATTTTTGTTTGTCATTCACACCAAACAAAAACTTGTACTAGGAATACTTGATACTCGGGTACCTACTATAGTAGTGTGAGATCACTAGCTTACGAAACACCTCCAAAAGAGTGTTCACATGTTGCTTCTGTTCACCAATTACCTGCACTCCATCTGACACAGTCTGTAGCTCGACAATAATGCAAAACATGATAAACATGTCAATAAAAATAAGTGATGCCGATCACACTGAACTATACTTGGTACTCATGGAAATGGTAGGAGCCATGGAAGTAACAGGTCCAATAGACATCAAGCATCGTCTATCCAAAAATGGAACTGGGATAATTCAAGTTACCAATGTTAAAACCAAATCTTGTTCAGGATACGAAAGTTAGCTGCCTTCAGATGCATTGTTTCTTAGAATATTTTTCCCTTTCAGAAACTTAAGAGCCAGCACCAAACCCAATGATCATTGCTCATGTTCATCAACCGAAAAATAAATTGGTAACCTCACAGAATTGTTGGTTAGAATCATAGAAATCAAAGATAGATCTTCAAAAGATCTTTGCCAATCAACACCCATATCAAAAGCAATTCTCATTTCAAGTTTGTCACAAAGCCAGAGTAGTCCATAATCCAATGGCAATCCAATCTGTATGGAGAAGTATGTTCCGGTTGATAATGACATCCATGTAAATGTCAATTATCAGTCATATTTCATCCTTCAGACCGTATAGGTTGAAAAAAGAAACCCTGCAAAAGAAAAAGTGTGAACTGATAATTGAGCTGCTGCTCATTTGCAATTAGTTTTACCAGAGGAACATCAAATATACAGCAGTTTATTCAAACCTTGAACTACACTAAAATAAAACCAGATTGTACTCATTCATCCCAAGAATGATGACACAAATTAATGTGGTTGACCATCAAATTTGTGCTACCTACAAGTAAAGAAATGCTGCTTGAGCATCACGGTTGAATTGGAAAAAATTTAAATACATAAAAATAAGTTGATTAAATCAAAGGTAATTTAAAGCAGCAAATCTCTTATTGTTCTAAGTACTGGCAATTCTATGAAATTCAAAATTTGACACTGGCAGGGTATTCAAGAGTTTTCCTTGAATAACATCCAGACTTAGAGCAAAATGGAAAAAACCAAATGATGTGATACAGATCTCAATAATTAAGTGACATACTGTAACTAATATACCACCACACAATCATATGTTCAGAAGAGTTAAATAGTTGCCACCAAAAACTACCTTCAATGTCTATTAAGAATCCATTATTTGAGGGACCGTTCTGAAATTTTTTTTGGCTCTGATTCAGTGTAGTTATATATTCTGAAAACCAGGTCACTAACAAGAATTGCAACTTACCATCATCAGAGGCAAATGATGTGAACGCCAAATAATTGATAAAATATTTACGAGAAAATTCTTCCAATTTAGGTCCACCCTATTCAAAGAAATTTCATTTATGGATGCTTCAAAACATCATATATGAGCAACAAAACTTTAAGTGCAATGTATCTTATTTAGGCAGGAAAAAATAACATAACCAAGTAAAAATAAATGAGCAACAAAGAAGATCAAAAACTGAGATCAAATAAATCTTTACAGAAGAAACTGAAAATACACCTGCAATTCATGATATTGTCAATCAATTTAAACCAAACTGTGTCGCCACTTATCATATGGCACAAGGATAATTATATCAAGTGACAAAAAAAGGGAAATGAGGCTACATTCACACATTTATTTTACATTAAAACATGGATACACATGATTGCTGTGTGCATCATTTGAAATCTATCTACAGCAAAGCAGCCAAGCCTGGACAGTCTGTATTTTATACCAAACAATCATTCGTAGTCACCTTAAGAAAAAGCAACACAAGACGGCCTCAAAAGATGAGCTATGAAATTTATCAACCTTGCAGCACATTTGCAGTCTCCATGGATAGATCACTTGAAAATTCTTCACCAAAACCAGAGGGAAAAAAGGTGCAAGCAATCCACCATGAATTTGCAGCGTCACGTGTATAATCTTGATCAGAATCACATCTGGAAATACAGCACAATATAAATGGTCAATGACAGAAATGGGGCATAAAGACAATAATACTCACTGCAGCATATGCAGTATGAACCAGAAAATTACCATATTGGACATTCATTTGGCAGAAGATATGCGCTGCAGAGATGAAATCCAGCTACTTGAAGGGCCAATTTTACTATTGTCTTGCCCATGTCTAGGGTTGGCAGCTTCCGTGGTCAGAGATGGCTTCAATGAGTTCCTTTTTGAGGTATCAGCAAGCGAATATGAAGAAGAGGGAATATTTGCATCGCCAAAAATCTAAAAAAAATAAATAAACAGATTAAATAATGTTCGTTAAACAGTGTGCAACCAAAGCATTGAGACTTCAGTGTTCCAAAACAGTCATAGCAAGAAATGAGAAGGTTTTAGTCTAAGTATTGCTTACATTCTTGTCAAGAGGATGTTCAGAACCCAAATTTTTACCCACTGGTGATTTAAACTGAATTTTAACACCAGAACCAGTAGCATTGCCTGATTTAATGTGCTCTGCTGAGATATCCCCTGGAAATGCAATAATACCTGCCAATTAGTGATGATGAACAAGATGTTTATGCAGAACAACAAAAAATGGCATAACTAATTTGAAGTGCACCAACCTTGATGGTGGTCAACATCCATTCGCATTGCTCGACTGCTGCTTGCTCCAGGAACAGGCTGCAAAATGACAAAAATTAGTATTGTCAGAACTCAGAAGCATGTGAAGACTCAAAACTCCAAATATATATACAAGGCTCACAAAACAAATATACTTACAGATAAGCGAGGCTGTACTCTATTCTTTTGTGCCTGCTGGTACTTTAAAACAGTCCAATCAAATACATAATCAAATTCATAACCTGTCATATACCAACAAAGGAAGAATAGAGTGGGGAAGTTACATTTAATTGTAGAGATGAAAACAAATACTAATATTGCTAACTTCACCACAGATGAACATGAATTTTGCATAATGAAAGAATGTGTATTTCAACAAAAACCAAAGGCCTGATTTACATCATATATTTCTTCATGGTTTGAACTTCGAACATAGCTAATGTTGCAAGTATCTGTGTAGAATATCAAGATTGCAGAATTGTGTGAAGTCCTACTGTACTGCAATATATTAGGAAAGAGTAGACCATTGTATAAGCTATTTATCATCTGAAGAATCTGTCTAAGGAATTGAGTTATTCATTTGGTCTTTCCTTCTTATTTTAAAAACACTCACTCCCTTTTGATATAATTAACAAGACATCTTGTAGAATCCCAACTTTTATTTATAATAATAATTTCCATACCCAAAGATACAATTCCAATTTCCAAAGGTATATCAACACAAATCAGTAATTTATTTGATTCTATATTATTCAAAAAAAAATTATGAACAAAATAATCACCTTCCCGAGCAAATAGGTCCCGAAATAGGCGCTTCAAGAATCCATAATCAGGTCGCTGATCAAAGGTTAGTGTGTGGCAGTAATGAAAGTATGAAGCAAACTCTACAGGGTGAGATTTGCATAATACCTATGGAAAATAACAAACAAATAAGAATCGTGATCAAAACCCTTCATAAAAGATAAATGCCCAAAGTCCAAACACTTACCTCAATAGGAGTTGATATTTTCTTGTCACATATTTTATCATACTTTTGCTTCTTAGTTGCAGCCTTTAGGTTTTGCCAAGGAAGACTAAACACAAATAATTAGTCATTAAAAGTTAGCATATTCATTATATTGCTCTCAATAGATAAATACGGAAATCACTTGTGGAAGAAAAGAAGCTAGAGAAGAATGTCGTACCTTCCTCGGAGAAAGTACAGAAGCACATACCCTAGTGACTCCAAATCATCCCGTCGACTTTGCTCTACAAATAAAATAGAAAATGAACAAAAAGAAAATAAGTGCATTCTGTTTGGTGTGAAGGGCTTGAATAACTTCTTCACTGACTTACCTATCCCAAGATGAGTATTGCAACTCGCATAACGTGCTGTCCCTGTTAAATTTTTGTTCTCCCTGTGTGGTACAATTCAATAGTATTAATGTTGGGGTATTTGGAGAGGTGATGAGAAGAGAAGTGATAAAGGAATCTTCACAAAAATATTAAACCATATTCATGAAAACTATTTAAGAAATTGATTAGAATATGAAAATAATTCAAAATAAGAAGAAAATTTCAAAATTACAAGACGCAAACATCAACCCCACCCCAACCCACACACACACACACACAGAGAGAGAGAGAGAGAGAGAGAGATTGAACTAAGTTAATGGAATATTATAGTAGAAATTTAAAAACCTGTAAGGGATGTGCCGATTAGTTGTGGAGTCCCTATATCGTTTCGCAAGCCCAAAATCAATTACGTAAACCTGACAAGTACAACACAATTACACACATACTTTAACGCCAACAAACAGTTGAAGAAATAACAGGGCCAGTCAACTATGAATGAAGGGAAACAGCAACAACAGGAAGGTCACCTGGTTTGCCTTCCGACCAAGTCCCATGAGAAAGTTATCAGGTTTAACATCCCTATGTAGGAATCCTTTAGAATGCACATATTCTATTCTAGCCATCTACACAAAAGGATAAGAATAAAAAATAAAAATAAAAATTGTTAACACCAAATGCACCCTCACTTAGCATCACAAAACATAACAAGATTTAAAACACATAATCAAAAGTGATGACATGTTTACCATTTGATCAGCCAACATCAACACTGTTTTGAGGGAGAACTTTCTTCCACAGTACCCAAAAAGATCCTCAAGACTAGGCCCCAGCAAATCCATAACGAGCACATTGTCCTCCCCATCTATACCAGACCATTTTATGCTTGGTATGCCACCTGTATTATATAAAAAAAAAATCAAAAAACAAATTTTTTTAAAATCTCACCTACTTCCTAACACCCTACACCAACATCCATACACCAATTCACTCACACACACACACATCATCATCATCATAATAATAATAATAATAATAATAAGGCATACTTCCTCCTTGAAGAATATTGTAGAGCTTGGCCTCATAAAGCAACTGTGGATGCTTCGTTTTACCGTTCTCCTGCAACACCAGACCAACGAAAAATTAACATGCAAATAATAAAATTGAATATAAATTGGCAACCAATCAATGATAATCGGCGATAAGTGAATGAATCCGAAACTGTACTAATTAATTTAGGGGGAAAAAAAAAGTAGGAGTAGGAAGAAGCATACGATCTTAACAGCGACTATCTCGAAGGTATCAATATGCGTGGCTGCAGAATTGAATCGCAATCAGTACGTAATAATAATAATTAAGAGTTTTGAGTTTTGTGAAGAAAAATTCGAGAGGAGAAAGAGAGAGAGACCGAGGTAGATTTCACCAAAAGATCCGCTTCCGATCTTGCGGCCAAGCTTGTACTTTGCGCCGATGATGCGTTCCATCGATCTCACCCCTAACACCTTAACCCTATTTCCTATCAACTGCGCGAACCAAACAAACGCACGCGCGCTTCTTCAATCTTTAGAACAGAACACCACCACCGAAATCCACCGTTTTAGAATTGACAAATATGCATCCGGGATATTTTTGTCCTTTCACTCACTTTTCAAATTGTCATCCCAATCTATTCCAATCATACATATTATTTAACACGGGAATAAGAAGAATAATCTTGTAGGAAATTTTTAAGGTTATCTTACAAATATAGAGATTGTGGGACCTATATTTGTTTTCAAAAATGAAAAAATAAAATAAATGTGGATTCTATAATTTCTATCTCTATAACGAGCTTATTTGTGCTCCCGGAACACGTGAGCCGGCTAGAGAGGAGAGGGAGGAGGGAGGAGAAAGAAAGGAAGAAAGAGGAGAGAGAAAGGGACCACCGCATATTTTTTCCTCTATAACATAACCTAACAATTTTTCTATAACATTATACTTCTATTTCCTTTTAATCATATGTTATTTTTATTTTTATTTTTTTCGTGTTTTAAATTTAAATATGGATAAATGATAGTTTATATTAATTATATATACATTCATATTAGGGGTGTCAATATGGGTTGACACGACACGAATTTGACACGACACGAATTCGACACGACACGAATACATCAACACGAACACGACACGAATTTTCATTCGTGTCAAAATCTTCAACACTGACACGACACAAATTTTTTGCGGGTTGACACGACACGACACGAATAACACGCAAAATAGGGGACAAAACGGTAATTGACAAAAAAAATTAAAAAATAGATCGAAAATAAAGAAAAAATTAAAAAATAATAATAATAAAATAAAAATAATAATAATTAAAAATAATACGGGTCGACACGAACACGACACGAATTTTTTGCGTGTCATTTTTTCCAACACGAACACGACACGAATTTTTTTACGGGTCAACCCGAACACGAATTTTCGTGTCGTGTCGCGGGTCGACCCGCGTGTCAAAACCCATATTGACACCCCTAATTCATATATATCTTTTATGATAGTTTTCTTTAATATTTATATTTATACATATCTTACAAATTTTTAAATTTAGAACTTGAATTTTGAATTGTTGTCTTTCTTTATAAACTCAACCAAAATGTGAATAATTTTTATTTTTATTATTATATTAATAAGTCTGTTTTATTTTATTTCGGTACTCAATGCAATATGTAATTATTAATTTATTATATGTAAATATAGTTTCTCATATGAGATAAGATTATCTCTTGTGCAAAAAATTAAATAAATAAAATCCATTTTTTCTCTCTTCTCCTAGTGGGTACAATCTAATTTTGTGTGTGCATAAAACAAAATCATTTCATGCAACATTAGAAATTATATTCCCCTAGTATATAGAGAATATTACTCTCTCATTTTACGTGAGAGTAGTTATCTCATGTTATATAGAGAAGTCAGGTTGAACCCACTATTAAAAGGCAAAAAAAGAAGAGGGGTGAACTTTTTAAAATAAGAAAACATGAGATAATTACTTTCATGTAAAATGAGAGAAGTATATATATAGATTTTAATGTTTTGACAGTGAATGTAGATAAGTTATCTACATTTGCTCCTAAAACGACGTTTTGGGTTGAAAAATTATAAAATTATAATGAAAAAGACTATTATAACCCTGAAATAAATTATAATTACAAAAATACTTTGATTTCCGTCTCAAAACGATATCGTTTTGCGCTCAATGTAAATAAGGCTGCGCATGACAACCATTCTGATTTCTGGCACTGTTTCTGAAAAGAAATGATTCTTTTCTATTTCTGTGCCTTGGAACAATTCTGAGAATCAGAATTACGTTTGTTAACATATTTTATTTTTATTCCGAGAATCAGAATTACGTTTGATAACACATTGATGAGAGAACCATTTTTCAAACAATTTAGTGCTGCAGTGCACGATTGCAGTCCCCACAGCAACCACCCCTCTTCCCGGATGAAATCATCAACGTTGAAGGTTAATTACAATTTAGAACCCTATGCTTTTTATGATTTTTTTGTCTCTCCAAAATTATGGTTTTTTTTGTCTCTCCAAAATTGAGTTTGATTGAGGAGTTGTTAGAATCTGAAAACATTGGGATAAAAGATGTAAGGGAAACAGGTCCACCTCCAAGGCCAACTATACCCGACATTTTTCCCATAAAAGACGCAGTATTGCTATGCCCGCATCCAATAAAAAAAACGATCAAATAAATGGGAACAAAAAAACGATCAAACAGGTCCACCTCTTTCAACACTAACACTTGAGAATTTTCCAGAACATTAAAAAACAAAAAAATGAGATAAACCCTAAAAATTGGTCAGAATACCCAAATCCAGGTAAGTAATTCAACAAATATAATTACCAAGAACAGCTAGACCATCAAATAAATGGGAGAAAAAAAATGAATCAGAATCAACATTCACAGGAGAAAATGAAAGTAGAATAACGTATCGAATCGCACGATAATGACGATAATACGATGGCCTACCAGCTAAAGCGACCTCACTTTCAACTCTGAATATTCAAATGGTCGAATGATATGGTTGAAAGCAGTGATGGTTTGGTGTGTGTAAGCGGGTACAGAGTCGGGAGTCGTGAGGGTGAGAGGCGTGAGAGAAAACTGATTCTCATTTTATGCTCAGAATTAGAAAAGCAGAAAATTTTTGATTCTTTTTTTTGTTCCTCAGCATAAAAAAAACCGGTTCATCCCGAGAACAAAAAAATAAACCGGTTTTGTCAAACGCAATTCTCATCCATTTTTGTTCCCGGGAACATAAATTAAAAAAAAAGAACCCCATTCCGAGAAGGTTGTCATGCACACCCTAAGTTATCTACATTGATCGTAGAAAAAGCGAACTCGTATAGGTATATATATATATATATATATATATATATATATATATATATATATATATATATATATGGGATACGTTATTCTACTTACTCTTATTTTACCTACCTTTGCCTACCCTTTTAATACCGTTTGATTATAATCTCATCCAACGATCGATATTTGTGATATGATATAAATCTTTTTTCGCTTTTTTCTCCTCACTCCCTGCCACACCTTTTCTCTCTCCTTTCCTTTCTCTCTTCCTCTGCGACTTCTCTTTCCCGAAATGAAAAACCCACCACAGTACTTGCAAAGAGTGAAAAAATAGGATTAGAGTATGAAAGCCCCAATTTGTTTTTTTACTTGAATCTAGTGGAGTAGTCCAAAAAACTAAAGACAACACTTATGGGATGAAAAGGGTCGATGTAACATCTCTGTCTCGAGCCGGTTCAATTAACATACATATGATACAAACAGAAACAACGGAAGACTTAACTTACGAAAATACGAACTAACTTTTCATTTTCTATTTTAATTCTTAATTGATGGAGACGAAAATCGAACAGAGTAACCTCTGTAAATCGGACAACTGGGCATTTTCCAATCCCACTCTCGAGAGTTCCTGATAGACAGTTTATACATTATATACTTTCAGAAGTACCAGACATTCATATAAAATCATATACCCATCCATGGGTGCATACATAACTTGGCTCCGTGCCACTATATCTAACAGCATGCAATCCAACACGCAACATAACTGAATACTACATCGTCATATCAACATGCCTGAATACACAAATGTACATACATCAAACTGACAGACATGTACAAAACATATACAGGCTATATACAAAATAAAGGATCAGACATCATGATCCACAAAATGCTGGAATGCGAAACAATGTAAATATACTCCAAAATAGCAGTAGCCTACAGCTACTCAAAATCTGGTCCGTCGCAGCACCTCTAGTCACGGGTTGTGTCCCTGCCTAGTGAAGGCTCACCGGGAATCTGAGAACCTGAAATGGGTCCCCAAAAAGGGATGAGATAACAAATCTCAATAAGCTCCAGGTTTATAGAGAATTCTCCATACCCCTGGGCTCACTCCTGCATGAAAGTCAAATACAGAGTATACCAATGCAACATATAACAGATATCATAACAGAACAAAGCACATATACATATCTTATCAGAGGCGTACGCAGTCATTCCCAAGGGAGGACCCCAAGCGAAACCAGAACATATCAGAGGCGTACACCATCAGTCCCGAGGGAGGACGCCGAGCAAACATCAATGTACCATATAATCATTGGCCAAAGATCAATACAGAAACCACATCAGAACAAATCATATCATGTTATCAAATAGCTCTATATGAATGCATCTATACAAAGCATCAAAACAGTCATACAATCCAACCATAGTTCACTAACCATGGTGGAGCACTCAAGCAGGAAAAAACTCCTTAAACATAGAGCTTACCTCTTGAAGCTTTTCTAATTCGCTTACTTGTCACACAAGTTACTTATATAGCTCCAATGGAATTTCAACCCTCTCAGTCCCTAGGAACACCTAGAGAAGGAATTCAAAACAAAAATCAATAAAATGTTACAATGCCATGAAATTTACACAAGGCATACATCTTATTGCTCACTTTCGTTCCCTCACGTTATGCCAATCCTATGCCAATTTACAAGTCAAGACCATGCCTTTACAAATTTCCTTTCATTTACCATTTCATAATCGTTAACGTTCCCTAAATTAACTAAGTATCCACTTGAGAATTTTCAACATAATTCATGCCATTTTTCTTCATAAGGCCGTGAGTACACATAAAGGGAACCAAGATTTCTTTCAACAATTTTCAAGTCATTTCCTTTCTTCAACTCATCAATTTCATACCTTGGAAAACTTCACATTTTATTAAAATAACATATAACTAAATCTATCCCTAAATCACCCTATAGGTCGAAATCTATAAGGGAACTTCAAAGGATTCCTTTCTTTTTGCAATTTAATTCTTTCACTAAATTTGCAACTTACACATACACACACACACACACACACACACACACACACACACACACACACACACACACACACACACACACACACACACACACACACACATATATATATATATATTCACTATGTCCAATTAAATTTTGAACATCAAACTCCTCTATGGTACATTATGGCCGAAAC